AGACTAGGGAATAAATTGATTCGTGGCCTGAGGGATACAAAAGGGTCAAGGAAGGCAGCGGAGGAAGCTTGATATTTTCTGAGGGACTCAGGGAGTATGAGTAGATTAGAGACATGAAGGAGAAAAACTATTTCAGAAAGGAGAAGGGAGGCTTGAAAAACTCTCAATTACTGTGGTAAAAGCATACAGAAGTGGAAGGTGGCAACTGATGAGAGTGGAGGGAACTGTGGCTTGTAAAGGTTGGAGCAGATGCTCCAATGAATTCTACAGGGAGTCAGCAAAATGAATAAAACCATATCTAGTACTGGTAGGATTCCAGATGAAGTTCAAATGGCTCCAATCTAAATAGTCCAAAAAAAAACCCCTATAGTTTTAAAGGGGAAAATGCATCGTGAAGTGTAAATGGAATTTAAATTTAAAAAATAAATTCAAATTAAATCCTTTAATATAATACACCCTATATTACACTGTCTATCCTATTAAAGGATGGAAAAGGCTTATTTTTTTATATAAATTTATTTATTTATTATACATCCCGGCATCAGTTTCCCCTCCCTCCTCTCCTCTCAGTCCCCTCCCCCAACCTCTCTCTGTTCCCATGCCCCAATCCACTCATCCTCTGTTTCAACTTAGGAAAGGGCAGGTCTCCCATGAATATCAACAAAACTTAAGGCCTGTATTTTGTAGATATTTTCAAAGATTACTGTTTGTATATCAGTTAGAAAACAATCATTTTTCTTTTAAGCCTCTCATTTTTAGCTGTTAATTCTCTTGGTTTTGACAACTTCTTTTCTTTATTTCAAAAATAATTTATTTTTATTTTATGTGCATTGGTGTTTTGCCTGCATGTTTGTCTGCATAAGGATGTTGGATCTTCTGGAACTGCCATGTGGATGCTGGGAATTGGGTCCTCTGGAAGAACAGCCAGTGCTCTTAACTGCTGAGCCATCTCTCCAGCCCCAGCAAATTCTTTTCTTGTCCCAATGGTCCACCTTTTCCACTTTTGACTTATTTAGAATTCATCTTCAGTATAACCTTGTAACTGACAGAGGAAAAGGGGTACAGTATAGATGATCATTATGCAGCCAGTTTTCTGAGAATAAATTGTGTCTGGGGGGTACACCTACAGGATTTCTCTGTGGGTTTCAAATAATATCATTACTTGGGATGTGCATGAATGTCTGTTCTAAAAACCAGCCCCTTCAAATAGTTCTGGATAATTTGAAGTTCTATTCAAGTGTGCATATATATGCGCATGTGCGTGTGTGCGTGCGTGCGTGCGTGTGTGTGTGTGTGTGTGTGTGTGTGTGTATGTGTGAGTGTGCAAAATCCTTATATGGAATATAGGTCTTCATTCTCCAGTGGACAGCCCTATATCCATGCATATATGGGGTTAGTAGTAACTGGAGTTAGTGGGGTTAAGAAAGAAGACATGAGTTGGCAGGGGGATGTGGTGGTGGTGGTTTGGGATGAGTTGGATGGGGGAGTGGAGGGTGGATATGATCAAAATACATTGTGCATGTGTATCAAATTCTCAAAGGATAAATAAAAATATCTTAAATATAAATATAAAGGGCTTTCAAGATGGCTCAGCAGGTTAAGGCACTTGTTGAGCCTGAGGACTTGAGCTGGATTCCTGAGACTCACATGGTGGAAGGAAAGAACTGACTCTGAATACACACACACACACACACACACACACACACACACACACACACACACACACAAAAATAAATAAATAAAAGGTAATAAATAAAGAAGTTGGGCTGGAGAAACAGATCATCAATTAAGAGCACTTGCAAAGGACGCAAGTTGGAGTTCCAGAACCCACATGGCAGCTAATAATTGTATCTCTTGTTTCAGGGGACTTTAATGCCCTCATCTGGCATCTATGGGTACCAGATCTGCATGTAGTGGTGCATATACAGTCAGACAAACACATACAAATAAATAAATCTTTAAAAATTTATATTTATTGAGGTATCTTCATTTTATAGGCTATGCCAAAAAGTGGAACATTTTGCTAATGTTTACAAATAAGCACCTTCTCCTCCTAATTGAATATGAATTAGGATAAAATGTAAATTCCTAATTAAGGTAAGGAAGTTTATAGCTATTCTGTTTTAGGACATTAAATCATTAAATTAATTGTACTAGAACTTTTCCTTATAAGATATGCTGTCTACTTGAACTAATTCTATTCATATTTATTTCAGTGGCTAACTTCTCTCTGGTATGAATTCACAAACCTTGAACATTTCCTTATTGTTCATGTAGTGCATGTCATCTCCCAAAGGTACTCTGTTTACTACAGCCTTTGTGATTTTATACTACTTTATTTAGTTCCACACTTACAGGATGTTGACATGCAAGGCTTCTTTGGGTCTTGTAGTAACCCAGGCTTATTTAGAAATATGTTTGTCTGATGGAAGGTATTAACATCAAAAGGGAATAAAATGAAACTCTATATGTGAAATCTGATTATCTCAGTCTCAAAGTATAGATAGTAGTAATAGAAATAAATCCATCAAAGCGTCAAGAAACTCAAAGACACAGTATCTGGAGTCTTGATCTAGATGTTTTTAAGTTACAAGCATCACTTTAAAATGACCATGTTTATTTTCTACAGGACTGCAATGGGAAGAAATTCAAGTAATGAAACCAAGAGTATCTTGTACATTTAAGGACTGAAAGAGCTGTAATCCTTCAGTGATCACTGGCAAATATGAGATTCTATTAGTTCTACTAGAATTTTAACATTAATTTCTGCTAACAATTAAAACATTGCTATAAACCTGATAGGTAAATGAAATATATAACATTTAATTTACGACTCTTCTAACATCAAATGAATTTGTTTTCTAATACAACAGTAATGATTACAACTTTAATGAGTGTTCTACTTTTTCATTTTGTATTTAGTAATTTCTTAAATATGAAATATCCAAACATCCCTGTAATGTCCTGTTGCTGAAAACTCCCAATGACTATAAAAGAAAGGCCTTCATAATGTAGTTGCTGCCATATAAAAGGGAGCTGCTTGACCTTAGGATCATCAGTGTAATTAGAGTTTTCTCAAATCAAACTTTGTATCGAATTTATTCTCCTGGAATTTTTATTGCAATGTCACTAGGGGTAAGTTGTTTCAATACATCATTTAATAGATATTCTGTCAAACACCTCTTGTACAGATTTGAGATTTCTTTAAAAAAAGAAACAATTAATAAATACTAACAAATAGGTCAGTGCTGTTGTACAGTCTTTGCAAAGCACTACATTTTTTTGGAAATCTTTCTTGCCTCTGCTCTATCTTCTCAATGCCCTCATATCTTCTCATTTTCCTCCCAAGAGTGTAACAAGTGAGCAAAAACAATTTCATGCCTTTAAAAATGATTTGTGATTGAATATCTTTTATGTTAGAGTTGCTTATTCCTGTATTCCAAAAGCCACTATCAACACTAGTTCTTCACATTTTGACTTCATTCAATTTGAAATAGGACACTCTGAAGAGATTCAAAAGGACATTTGTAATACAAGCTGTAGATAGAGATGAAATGTCTTACCTAGGGCATTTTTGGCTTAGGAAGTGAGGAGGAAAAGCAACTCACTCACTCCCCCTCTTTGATACTGCTAAGTACATCTATCTCTAATAAAACTCTAAGTTTCTAAAAGTATGTTCTGGAAGAATATCAGAGAAGTTATGTAGCTATGTAGGTGGTAGCTTTTGTAAACAAATAAAGCCTGAATTTAACACAGTGAATAACTGCCAGCTTTTCCAGGAGAGGATGACAAAGTGAATACCTGGCAGTTCAATTAAACTTTGACAAGGAATTTAAAACAACTTGGATAAATGATTTAACTGTGATACGTTGTTTGGAAATGATAATGCTTTTTTTCAGGCGTGTACCCTACTCAGACATTTAGTTCCCTGTGTGTTTTTGTAGTAAGTGTTGAATGTTTGATAGGTAGGGGAAGAAGAATCATGAGCTACCATTTAGGACATAGAGACTTTGGAATGCCTGGGACACTCACTGATCTTCTGACCTTATTTGTGAGGGAGATAAAACGCCATGTTCCAGCGTGGTAACATCTGTCCCTATGAACTATGTACGGTTTTGAGTCATTAGATAACATTAGGGCAAGATGATTTCAGACTAAGGTATGGCGGGAGTGTGTGCCTGAATGGGCACACACACACCACACACACACACACACACACACACACACACACACACACACACACACACACACACACACACACAAAACAAAACCTTTGTCTGTTTTGGGACAGTGGCGGAAGTGCTGTAAAACAATCTTCCCATCTGCCACAGAGGCTCCCCACCGCGCTTCCTGAACGCCCTTGAGAAGTAGCACACTCGCGCCCAGCAACTCTGATGGGAGTGTGAGAACTCCGGGAAGCGGTCCTGTTGGCGCTGGAGAAGGAAGAAATTACAGCAAGTGAGCTAGATGGCTAGGAGGAAGGCTGAGTTGTGCACGTGGGAACTCACTGGACTCTTTTCTTTCTCCTGGATGTTGAGTGGAACCACCTCTTCGCCCTGCTGAGTTTGGGAGAAATGTGCACGTGGAATTAGAGCTAAGTCACTTTCCTCCACCGAACTCGGTGCGGGATAGTTTGGGGTTTGGGATGAAGGAGACACGGTCGCGAGTCCGGCTTGTGACTCCACCAGTCCTCCACTTCGGAGAAGACTGTTTGCAAGCGTAGTCCCCTCCGAGACCTCTGCATGGCAATCCGACTCTGCTCAGATGGCCAGGCGGTCGGCAAAGGCACTGCACCGCCCCCCTTCTCGTGCTCCACTTCCATTCACCGAAAGCCCGGCACAGCCTCAGGTAGGCAGAGGCTGGCTGGGGAGTCTCCACCCCTCGCTGGCGGCAGCCATTCGGCGCACGCGGGCGCTGAGGGGGTGGGGCCCATTGGCTGGGGGGCGCTGCCAGTCTCCGGAGGGGGTGTGGTGGGGGTGGGCTCTCGGGCCGCCGCGGGT